ACTCATTAAACTAGAATTCTCCATTTACCCCTACCCACAGCCACTGGTAACTTCTGTTTTACTTTCTGTCTCTCTGAATTCATCTATTCTGGGTACCTCATATATGTGAAATCATACAATAGCTCCTTTGTATCTGGCTTATTTCATTTAGCACAATGTCTTCAAGTTTCATCCTTGCAATAAGAATTGTAAACTGTGTTAAAGACTTTGGGTTTCCTTCCAAGGGTCACTAGGGGAACTGCAATAGTGGAGAGATGATCACATTTGAATTTTGCAATGTGAATTTTGCACCTTTCTGGCTATAGTGTTGAGGGGAACAGGACTGGAGAAAAGCAGATCTAAAAGGAAGTGCTTGCCGTGATCTAAGTAGCAGAAGACAGTGGCCTGGGTTGGAGTAATGGCAGCTGGATTATAAAGGTGGGCATATTTGAGAAACAGGAGGTATTGATTGCACTTGAGAATTAGCTACAATAGTGTGCGATAATAAGAAGTTTTCATGGGCACACACATTTACGACTTGACTATCTAGGGGCCGCTCAGCTGAGATAAGAAGCAAAAGAACAGCACTTGGCAGTACAAGATCATCAGTATCATGAGTGTTAACGGCTTGAACCATGTTCCTGTGATTAATGGGGACAATCTAGAAGGGATGGGAGAATACTTTTATGAAGCATAGTTCACTTGATTCTCAACTACATTTCCAATATAGCTTTCAGAAAAATGCCATGTAGCTTGGGGTGTTGGGGAGCCCATCATGGGAAGTTCAGAGGCTGCGAGGCCATGTGGTGGGGATACTATGGAGGCCTCCAAACACCAGAAGAAATGTGAGTAAGATGCACTGCCAGGTCCCTTCCAATTGAAGTCTTCTTGGCTTGTGGAGGGACTGGCTTCCTTATTTCCTGCTGACCTGTCCCCTGTGCCTGGAAAAATCCAGGACGGTACAGAACCACATGCCTAAAGCCATCAATGGATATCAGGAGATCCAGGGCCTGAAGAACACAGTAGATTACTTGTTTCCCTTCTTATTTTTTAGCAGCCAGAGCTTCCCCTGCTCCTGCTCCAGTAGCAGCAGGTGGGGCGAGGTAGTTGACTCCAGGTCACCGGCGGTGCTGGCTTTAATCACAGTGCTTGCTTTCATTGTTTACCTAGTCCAGAGGTTAGGAAACTGCCGTCCAGACCCTGAAATGTCCTAGAACTGGGTTCAGAGGGTGGGGGGATCTGAGGGAAAGTCAATCTAGCAGTTAAGCCACAGATTGGAGTGTCACCCAGTTACATCCTGCTCTCCAAAAGGCCTTTCCCAGCAGGAGAGGACCCTCTCCACATACTGCAGCCTGAATATCTCTCTCCACATCAATGCCCACTCTACAGTCCATCCCATACACAAGGCCACTGTGTGCATTTGTTCTGGACTTTAAAACTCTTCCCAACACTGCTTGTACTCTGGCAGCACCACAAGAAATCCACCTCACCCCAAAGAGGCTGCAGAGACAACTGCCTCTCTGATCTGCAGGAGTACTGCCTGGTGCCCTACATCCCCTTTTTTGTAGACTAGGGTGAAATCCCAGCTCTCCCACTTCCCAACAGTGTGACCTTAGTCAAGTTCCACTGCCTTCATGTCCTCAGTTTCTTTGTCTGGGAAAGCGGGCACCGCTGCCTTGACTGTAGATTGGTGTATCCTTAACTGGTCCACAATCAGAGTGCATGGCACATGGCTCACCACGACAGCCTGCTTAAGAAAGGCCTTCATGCCCTCCAAGGTGACTGTTCAAGAGTCTACTCAGCATGGGAAGCAGCGTTCTTGGGTGGCTTCATGTGGGAGGCATGGTTTGAGATTCGGAACCAGAAGGCTTGGTTTTGACTCATGAATGTGAGCTTAGACCCCATATTCTGGCTGAACCTCAGTTTTATACCTTTCAAATCAGATTTTGAACCCCATTCCCTTTCCCACTGGGATGCTGTGAGTAGGACACTAGGAATGAGAATGTTACTGCTCTCCAAGAGAGGACCATCAGGAATATGCTTATAGTCAGATAAAATGGATTTATTATTTTTAGTTCTTTTTTTTTTTTCCATTTGTTTCAACAGGAATATTGAGCACAATGGTGTACCCTAGGGTTTCTCAGTAACAGGGTGTCAGGAGGGGATTTCTATAAGACTTGGTTTTGTGTTAGGTGGTTTTGGGGGAAGGGTTTAAGAAGGAGGAATCTCTTCTGGATAGGGTGCTGTCCATAAGCTGGGCAATTCTGATTGTGCATCTTTTATTTAGGAGATGAGTAGAACAGAGCAAGGCGAAGCTGTTTTTTGTCAAAGAGTGGCAAATGTTTATGTTAAGCAGGAGAGGGGCATGTTTTTTGTTTTTGTGGTTCACAGAGAAACCTTTTGTCTGTATGAAGGCATGATTTTGGAATGATTTGGGGTCTTACAACAGAGTAATTTTGTTGTACACCGGTATTCTGTGGAAGTGTTCATGGTCAGCAGGGAATACCATGGTCTGGCCATGAGAGACAGGCTGTGTGAGACAGCTGACAGCTGTAGGCTGCTTTCTGGTTGTCAGCAATGTCCTTTGTAACTCTGACCTTTCAATACTTTTCATCCTGTACTGCCCCGTGTTCCAGTCCCGCTGTTTTTTCTTTGCTTGTTTTTGCTCATGAATTCTCTCAGAACGTGTAAATGTCATAGGCCTTCATTTAACCAACACAAATACACAGAACCACAGCATCTGGCAAGGACTACCTTAGCCCCCTACAGCCACGGTGTGGGTGGTCCGAGGGTGTCATATCTACCCATGTGATAGAGACATGCTTATCTGTGACATGGCCTTGAACACAGGGTGGCTGCAGTGAAGGGAAGCTTAGAAGTGAAGATAGCAAAGACCTGCTCTTTTGCCGCAGAAATCAGAACACATGTGGCTCTCAGGGTCTCCTCAGACATTCCTTGCTCCCATTCTTCCTCCTGCCCCTTCACTCCCAGGCCTGGTATATTCCTTCCACCAGTGTCCTCACTCCGGGGCAGCTGCTGTCTAAAAAAAAACCCAGGAATTTCCTGGTGAGTGACCCTCATTTACAGGTTTCTGGAAGCAGTGACACTTCTTGCCCAGGCCCTTTCTCTGCCTCTGCTTTGGCTCACTGGGTGACCCAGAGCAGCATGTGGCAGAGGTGACCAGACAGGTTACACCCCCAAAAGGAGGTTTCTCACTGCTGCGATAAGGAGAGGGCTGAGAGGGGCACGGTCAGCACAATGGAAAGATAAGAACCAGAAGCACACGCTACTGGCTGCAACATTATTGGAAAGGAATACCAGTAATTTAAAATAAGTATAATCAATATCCATAGAGAAATCAGTGAAGATACTGCCCGTATGACACAGGCACGAGGCAGTAGGAAAGCAATGAAGTAGAAATATTAACATGGACATTAGTCATTGGAATAATAAACACGATAGAAAGTGCAAACCACCAGGGTGGATATTGCTGAAGAACACACCGAGGAACTGGGAGAGCAGAGCAAAGGACTCTTGCAGGACTGGGAAACTGGAGAAATGGAAGTCAGGGGGTTGGAAATGGGAGATTCGGAGTATTAAAGACAAATGAGCAAAGCTTTCTGACACACAAAACGGAGTTGGAGAGATGGTACTCCTGCATCTAAACCAACCCAGTCACACAGATACCAGCAAGGAGGAGTGGAAGAGACAGAGATGGCAGCTCCCCAGGCCGGAAATGGGGGACACAGGGAGGATACCCCAGAGAGGTGCTCGCATTTTGAGGATCACCGAAAGCCATGGCTCAGTGAGTGCTTGGGCTCTAACCAATTAGACAACCAAACCCCCTTCCCTGTGACAGTTAAAAATCTAGGTATTTACGGCAGTATCAGAAATGTAGGGAGTTGGGCAGAAACACTCTTCTTCCCAACACCATCTCACTTGATTCTTGTGATCAGCTGCATGCAACAGCCAAGCCTAGGTACAACCGGGAAAAAACCGTAAGTGACCCCAAAGAGCCTCCAATATCATGAGGCAGCTTTCCTGGTACCCTTCCTGCTCTTTTGTACCTCCCTGGGACCAGACACAGAAAGCTCAGCTGTAGATTAATGGTAGATTAATTGCGTTATTAACGGATTAATTGCATCATTAGTTTACCTAATATCCCACACCGTACACTCGGACAAAAATTCACCCTCTACGCATCCAGGTGTGTGCGTGTACAGGCCCTTGTGTACACATACTTGTGTATGTGTGTGTGGGGGGGAGTATTTGAATGTGAGTCTGTGCCGTTTCTTAAAGTCTGTCTCCCCACCTGTGACTAAATGAACTCACCTGTAGCTTTGCGAGGATGAAAAGGTTTAACACTCTGGAGCCAATCAGGAAACAGACATCACACAGTGTTCAAACCAGGGGTAGTTTAATATAAATAATTATCAAACCCTGATTAAAAAGTAACTATAGAATGTAAGACATTCTCTGTGGTTCAGACCTCACTGGAGAAAGGGTAGTTGAACCCACTGGGTGGCTGTGCTGGTTTTTGGACCAGAGCTTCTCTACAGTTCTGGGACAAGCAGGCATCAGCCCTCCTCCGGAGCACAGGTGGGCCAGGCAAGCCGCAGGTGGTGGCCGCAGTGGTCGCGCAGCGGCAGTGGGACGCAGGTGCAGTAGAAGGCCCGGAGTGCGACGACCCTGTCGGGGGGGACCACTGCTTCCCTAAGATTGCGGGAGACACACCTAGGGGAAGAGGGACGAGCAGAGGCAGCACAACAGAGGTGCAGCAGGAAGCTTCGGTCCCGGAGTCCCTGCCGCAAGGACTGCAGGGGGTTGGTGGCGAGGTCAGGGCGCGACTGCAAGCTCCCGGATTCGCGGCCAGACTGTGTGTTCCAACCGCGGTGCCTCCAGGTGTTCTCATCCGCCAGGCCGACCCCCGAGAGGGCCTCCCGAAACTGCAGGAGCCCCCTTTTTCTTTCTAGACCTCTAGACCTTTCTAGAGGTCTCTCTAGCGCCCTCTACTGAAAAAACTTTGCATCGTGCTCACTCGAAAAACGCTGAAAGGTATTCTGTGGTTTATCACAGAGCATGTTTCGGAGGGTAAATTGGGAGCTGAGAGTCCTTTGATGCCCTGGCACAGCAGGTGTGTCCGCATCGTCGTGTGCACGGTAAGTCCACAGGCCCTGTGTGCTCCCTCTGTCTGCAGATGTAACATGAAGAGTCCCTCCAGCCCGGCCTCACGGGAAAGCTGAGCAGCAAAGGAAGGCAGAAGGGTGGGCCTTGCCGGCTCTGGGCCCCGAGACTTGAGGCTGGGCTCCCTGTTTCTTCCTTCCCTCCTTTCCTCTTTCCCTCCTTCCTTTCTTCCATGCTTCTCCCTCCTTTCCTCCCTGCCTCCCTCCTTCTGTCCTTTCCTCCTCCCCTCCCTGCCTCCCTCCTCCCCTTCTCACCTTCTCCCCTCTCTCCCTGCCTCCCTCTTCCCATCCCCGTCTCCCTTGTCCACTCCCTGCTTCCCTCCTCCCTCCTTCCCTCCCTCTTCCCCCCTTCCCTCCCTCTTCCCCTCCTTCCCTCCCTCTTCCCCTCCTTCCCTCCCTCTTCCCCTCCTTCCCTCCCTCTTCCCCTCCTTCCCTCCCTCTTCCCCTCCTTCCCTCCCTCCCCAGGCACAACACATTGGCCCCCAGCCCAGTGCAGCTTTAAGAGACCAACTTACGTCAGAGGAACCCAACCAATCCCCACAACCACCTCTCCAGAATAGGAAGATGGAGTTACAGGTGAGTCTGTCCTGGACAGAAAAGTAGAGATCCTGGAGGAGAGTGAGTTGAACTGATTGAGAATGAACTGCCTATGAATTGGAGGTGGGGGGACGGTCGGGGAGGGTTAAGGAAGACCCTCTCTACCAGAAAGGTCAAGGAAAGGCTGGCTCCACAGGGCTGGCTGGGCTACAGACTAGCTGCCTTTCCCCTCTGCATACAGTCGGGTACCCAGCCGCCAGACCCCACAAGTGAGGGGGTCAGGAAGGCATCACAGACAAATGTACACATATCTCGTTTTCATTCCACTCCATACTGACCTGAGGATTGTGACTTAGACAAATGCCCTCATCTTGTTGAGCCTCAGTTATTCAGCTGTAAATGGGAGGAAGGAGAGCATTTAGTAATGGTAAATATGTAAGAGTGCTAATCGGGAGGCTCTACCCACTGAGAAAACAAGAAAAAAATTCTTGTCACTGAAAGAGAACTAAGACGGATTGCTTTCTGAGATAGGTGCGGACAGACACATGCAGACCTAGAATAACGAGATCAGACTCACCCGGAAATACTTGGCCCCAAGTTGACTCCCCTGTTTAAACAGAGATAGAATGGTGGAGAGGGAGGATTATTCCTCTCAGGCGGCTCTGTATGGCTTCCAGGGCCATGGTGAGGGATGGGGGTTATCCGGGCCCTGAAGGCCCAAGGCACTTGAGGGAAGAACAAACTTTGCTGTGTCCCGCAGGGAAAGTATGGGTCAGCCCTGCCATCTTGTGGCCATGCTTAGGACTGCAGGGGGCCAAGGCATACGCTAAGAGATCAGGGGTTGCCCGTCCCCCACCCGCCCCCTTGCCACCTGACACCTGTCGTCTCATTCTACACATTAATTCTGGAAAGTTACTATGTGTTAGGCTCTGGGAGGGAACCTGGGGAGACAACAGAAAACATAATTGCCTTTGTGAGCTCCCAGTATAATGGGGAAAGATGACACAAATGTATATTAATACAATTGTTGCAACAAAGATGACAAATGAGGGACTGAAAGAGATAATAATGGAGAGATCACTGAAGATTGTGTGGTCAGGAAAAACCTCGCTGGGGAATAGGAAGGATCCCAAAGTATGGAAGTAGGAGGAAGTACATTTCAAGGAGAAAGAAAAGCATTGCAAATTAGTAAAGATCTTGGCATTTGAAAGACTAAATCCAGACTCAGGTCTCCTGAACTTCTCAGGGTGCCAGGCATCTCACAAACAGCAGTGCTGTATCTCCCCTCCTCCCTTTCCAAGATATGAACTCTGGGATGTAGATTCTGGGCCTGGACTCTGGTCTCCTCGTTCTGGGAGCTGCTCTCTAGGCTGACCCCAGGGCCTTGACCTAAATTTTTTCTTTGAAACTTGAGTTCTAAATTTGGGGTCTGGTCCGTGTCCTGACTGTCTAGGCTCAATCCATCTGTCTCTGGGCTTGGTTCTCTGAGATCATGCCTGAAGGTTAGGAGATCAGAGCTCCTGGTCTCTTTGCTCTAATCTCTGAACTTAGACCTTGGGAATCAGGACACCAAGGCCTTGGTCAGGGTTTGTGCTACTTGGATGAACTCTGGGCTGCATTCGACATTGTGGTCTCTACCCTCTGGATAGGCAGGAGTCTATATTGTAAGCCCTGAACAACAAGTCACTGGATCTGCTCCAGGTCAGGTATCTCTGTGCTCTGCTGGCTGGTGCTTCATTTGAGGTTACTCCTTCTGGAGGTTGTTGCTCTTGGCTGTAGGGTTAGGATTTTAGCCAGATTCTTCATGCCAGGCTGGGAACAAAGGCAGCAGGTCTTGCATCTTGTAAAGCATAAAAGAGGCTCTTGCAGATACACAGGGAGCTGGGCCTGCCTGGACACTTTCTCCTCAGGAACTGCCCTAGGAAACATGGGTCTGGCCAAAGATTTGTCCTGGGAGGATCGAGGACCCACAGGCACATCTTGAAGAGATGCAGAAACTTGCCCATCCCTGATGTCTCAGGCCAGCCCAGATACAAACACAGAAATGGAGACAGACAACCTCACATATTGGACTGTGAGGTGAGGAGAGAGGGTCAGGCTCACTGTGGTCTTTCTGTCCTGTATCTTTCACACTGCCTGGAACATGTGGGACCATAGCAAACATTTGTTAATGAATAAAAGAGTAATGAGCTATGAGAGAAAACTTAGAAAGATGTAGAAGGACAAAGGGAGGGAGACAGAACAGGCATTTGTTGAGTAACTAATGTGTGCTTCTGTGTGCTAGTTGCTTTGTAGGTAATACCTCACTTAATTCACACAACACCTTGAGTTGGCATACAGTATGTCATCTGTGTCGTGGTGACAAGGCCCTTCCCAGGTTCCATGATTCACTAGGAGGACTCCTGGGACTTAGCCTATAGTCATGCCTGTGGTTATAATTTGTTTACTTATTTATTTATATGAGACAGAGTCTCACTCTCTTGCCCAGGCTGGAGTGCAGTGGCTTAATCATGGCTCACTGCAACCTCTGCCTCCCAGGTTCAAGCAATTCTCCTGCCTCAGCCTCACAAGTAGCTGGGATTACAGACATGTGCCACCACAAAAATAGCCACTCCTGGCTATTTTTAGTAGATACGGGGCTTCACCATGTTGGCTAGGATGGTCTCAGACTCCTGACCTCAGGTGATCCACCCACCTTGGCCTTCCAAAGTGCTGGGATTACAGGCATGAGTCACCGCACCTAGCCCTGGCTATAATTTATTATACTGAAAAGGTGCAAAGCAAAATCAGCAACGGGAAAAAAGTGCAGGAGGTGAAGTCTGGAGGAAGCCAATTGCAGACTGCATGGCATTTAATCTCTCCAGGCATCCTGTGGGGGTCAGAGTCAATATCCCCATTTCTCAGATGAAGGAAGAACTGCAAATAGGACCTAAAGTCTGCTAGCTTTTAAAGCCATTATTTTCCCCTCAGCCCAATTAATATTCTGTGTGACTGTGGCTCCAACTGCCAACACCTGCCTTTTTATGTCACCACTAGAGTGTGACTGGTCTGCTGTGAGTTCCGAAACTCCCCTCACATCCTTTTCTTGCAGAAAACCTCTGCTTCCTCCTTCCCAGGCCTACTGCTCTGCCTTTGTTCTTTCACTTCTTTGACATGGCAAACTCTGTTCCTGCTTCTGCCTCAGTGCAGTCTGGCCCACTGCCTGGGATACTATACCTTCTTCTTTCTCATGGCTTCTTTCCCCTCCTACAGGACACATATTTCAGAAAGGTGGATGATTTGTGAGTATTTTGCATTCCTCCACCAGAGGTAAACTCTTGAGGACTGGCAACCACTCTGTATCTCATGAAACGTCAGCCTATGATCAGAGAATATGAAAATCCAGACGTGTTTTGTATTCTGGGCAAATTGAGCTCTGTGAATAATATAGAATTGCATTCACATCCTAGTCAACTATGGGTTATGAGAAGCCTCAGTGTTTAGATCAAGGATAATCAGTGTCTGATCCTAAAAGAAAGATACAGGCTCTAGACGAAGAAATCCAATTCATCACAACACAAGTGGAAAACGCCAATACACGTATACTTGAACCTGTCACAGAAAACTGAAAAAAGTCTCGTCATTTCCACATAAAGATCCAGCACTCATGTGAAGAGTAAGTTCAAGTTTCTGCAGGATTGTTAGCTCAAAACCAAAGAACTGGCAACCTCCCTGGGAGAGGAGAACATTGGTGATCATGTCCAATCAGAGAATGGAGATCACATTGATAACCAGGCAAAAGGATCCTAGAGGAAACTGAAGGATTTTGTAAGGCAGTTGGACATTTAAACATTGAAAATAGAGGAAAATTCAATTCTATGCCAACATTGCTGTAGAAGAGTACAGGAAAGCTGAACTGACAAGTCCTCTGAAAGGGGCTGAAACTGAAGAAGCCTGAATCAAAAGGTCAGATCCACATCTTAGAGGAGAGAGGAAATGAAATGAGTGAACTCTGTCAGCAGAAAGAAATGGAGTCTGTGTCTTGGTTATTACTGTCAGAGTAGATTATGACTAACAGCAAGAGGTGGGAAGTTTTGAAGCCAAAGACCTGATGAGTCATAAAAATGAACTAGAGATCTACAGAAGACATTGCAAGATATCAAATAAAAGCTGGAAATACCATTTCTTCTTCTCAGGGACAGATTCTGTCCTTAGAACTAAAAGCTAATGGTAATTGGTTGAGAGCTTGGGAAGCTGAACAAAATCTTATCCTCACCAGACAGGAGGTTGCAGATCTGAGGTAAAGAATAAGGGAAAGAGAAATTCAACTCCAGTTTCTAGCAGTGGATCCTCTTGTATTTGTTGATTGTGATGGAACATTTAGCAGGGAGCGTTTGCTTCTCAGCCCATAGGGATGGGGTGCTGCTTCCTCTGGGATGGAACGGCTGCATGCTTCTCTGCTCAGCTTCCAGGATGTCCTATACCTTCACTTTACCTTTCAGAAAGAAGAAAGGTGTTTGTCTCAATACATTTTAGTTGATTTAGAGAATGACTGTCTTAGGCAGTCTGGGCTGCTATAACAGAAAACCACAGACTGGGTGGCTTAAACAACAGACAATTATCTCTCACAGTTCTTGGGGCTGGGAAGTCTAAAAAAAAGACACTGGCCAATCTGATGTTTGGTGAGGGCACTGCTCTTGGTGTGCAGATGGCCATTTTGTCATTGTATCCTCATGTAGTGGAGACAGAAAGAGATTATCTCTTTCTTGTCTCTTCTTATAAGGGCACTAATCCCATTGATCAGGGCTCCACCCTTATGACCTAATTACTTACCAAAGGCCCCATCTCCTAATACTATCACCTTGCGAATTTATGCTTCAACATACAAATTTTAGGTAGACACAAACGTTCACTACATAGCAATGACTTAACCCTCAGGATTCACTAGAGGGAGAAGTGTGTATAGTGATGACTCCAGGAGGGCCCAGAGAACTCTGATCCCATCCAGGTCTGGTGCCCTGGATGCTCTGACTTTGCAGGGTCCTGAGTGGGGTTGGATGAGGCTTAGCTGTGAAAGCCACAGGAAGGTAGCTCTGGCTGTGATTCCTCAGCTTTGCCTTCTTTACAAGGGGGACCAGACCCAGGACCACCAGGCTCTTCATCTGGCTTGGTGGGCCTCTCCTAATGGTACCCCCACTTCACAATGCTGTCTCAGGCTGCATGTGCTGAGACCTGTCATTTGAACACCTAGATGTCTGGAAGCCAGGTGACAGCGTGTGATGTGATTTAGTGGTGCCTACATGCTCATGTGAGGCAGATCAACCTCGTCCTCAGGAATGATTACAGGAACTGGGAAGACAGTAGAGAAACTTCGCCTTTGGGAGAGAAAGAAGTTGCTAGGCTCCCAGGTCTTGAGGCTTCTGCCTTACAGTTTGATGGACCGAGTTGAGCAGTCCCAGGACCTTGGGCAGTGGCTGAAGTATTTCTGATTGGAGGAAAGGGTTAGGGTTGTCAAGGAAGCTGTTCTGAATGAGTACACTGTGGAGTGGGACCTACTGACATTTCCACTGGGCTGCCGAACTTTCAGGCTGGGTCACCTGGAGTCAGTGATACTCCTTTATTAGGCACCAAGATTCTGTCCAGTAAAGTGGCTTCCTTAACGTGGAAATTGCCTCTCAGAGTTCTTGGAATGTTACAACAAAGGTGATGTGTTGAGGATGGGCCCCCGCGTGTGCTCGGCCTGGTCATCATTCATAGTAAGGATTCCTCATGGATGCAGAGCTGAGCTGGGCCTATGGGGACAAGCAGGACTGGGACTGACAGTGGGGGCATAGAGGAGTAGGGTGGCCTGAGATGGAGGCAGCATGAGACCTTACCCTGTTCCTATCAGATCAGCCAGGGAGGGAAGTTCCCTCCTGGCCAATTAAGTGACTCCTGGGTGGAGTCCAGAGGATTAAATTTCCTTTACAGGGCCCGACCTATAGCTATCAGTCGACCAGGTTTCCTCAGATCACTCTCTGGGCTTCTTTGTGGACACAACAGAAGAGGAGAGTTCTGTGGAAACTCATGCTAGGTTCAGTTGTGATTATCTGCCGGGAGCGCTGCTGGGAAAACTTATAGCCATTTTCATCTAGTGATGAGGTCTCACTCTACCAAACTGTGAACTCCTTAGCACAGGGCTGAGTGCTGCTCATCACTGTGCCCAGCCAGTACAGCCCTAGCACAGAACAGGTACTAGCAGAAAGCCAGAAATGACAGAGCAAGAAGGAGTCACCTGTTAACAATGCAGGGCATCTCCCAGCTCCTAGAACCCAGGGCCCAAAGCCACTGTCCATAGGAGGAGAAACTGTGAACATGGCTTTGCTTTGTACAGCCCAAGTTGATTCTCTGTCCCTGTATGTCTGTGGTAACAGGATGTCCCACTCGCCGCCTCTGGGATGGACCCTGCATTATTCTTGGACTCTGATCTTGGTTCCCAGGAGGGAGAGTTCAGGCTCTGCATGTGGGATCCTTTGCATTGGACACTAGCTGTGCTTCAGGCTCAGCCTTCTGGCTCTGGGCACTGGCTTGACACTGACTGCTGACCCCTGGGTTTTAAGGTGTCAGCTTATTTTTCTGGGCTTTGTCCTTGGTACTATGTAAAGGTTGGAGCTGGGAGTTTAGCTGTGGCCCCTGATCTTATCCACTCCTTGCAGGTTCCTTGATCAAGCTCTGGTTACTGGAGTGTGGGCTGCAGGTTGTGGGCTCTGTTCTGTTCACTGATGAGCAGATCCTCTCTGCCTTCTGAGCTCAGGAGGTGCTTTCAGGATCGTAGGCTCAAGCCTTATCATGTGATTCTTTGATTGTGACTTTGGAGTAAGAGATGGACCCTGGACTCCGGGTTCTTTCTGATGCTAGGAAGACCCTGAGGAGCTAAGTGTGAGACAAAAGTGATGATTTAAGGCCCCAAACAGGTGGAGAGTGAGGGAAGAGTGAAATGGAAACCACTGGATCATCATTTCCTTGGCCAATTTGGGAGTCATGTCAGGGCCTGCTTCCTCTGGAACTGGGTCCAGAAGTGACCTCCAGAAGCTCCAGAAGTGACCTCACCTGCCCCTGGCCAGCATTGCTCCTTCCCGAGATGGATCATCCTCAGTAGTGACCTCACTTATCTGAGCCTCAGTTTTCTCATCTGCTGCATGGGAATCTGAATAGCACCTACGTGGAAGGAGTTTCTGTCCTGTTGGGATGCCATGACTGGCTCAGCATTTGTAACATTGGCCTGAAGGTAGGAAGGACCCATCCCAGGGTAGAACGTGGCCTAAATTAGGTATACTTTTTGGTCTGTACTTTCTTTTACCAAATGAAGTTTTATTTTATTTTTTAATGCTTTTTGTCTTGCTGTTGTTGTAGTTACATATAATCTAGCATTGTTTAATGTTTATATCATATAAATAATATATATATATATAAAAAATAAATCTTATCAAGGCTCTTCTCTTTTTAAGTAAGTTTATAAGTCCACATTCCAAAATATTCCAGGGCTTTTGATATTTTTCCTTCAGTGTCTTAAGTTATTTTCAGATATTGCTAATATTGCCTGACTTTCTAGATTTCTTGTATCTCAGAGCTTTGAATTTACCAAGTTACAAAAAATTCACATATAAAACAAACCAGGAGTTTCAGACGCTGTATGTATGTGGAATTACTGGATATAACAGGAATATCCTAGAGCTATTCACTGGAATTACAAAAAATAAAAATTACCCATCCTAGATGGCCCTTCATTTTGTAACATCACAGTAACATTCAGGTGCCTAATAAAAAGGGGGAAAGTTAAAAATCCCCCACCCCATAACTCAATTCAACCTAGTTCTGATTACTTTTCTCAAAGTCTCTCTACCAATATTTTTTCTTATTTCTTTCTTTTATCCAAACGTTAAAAAGTCATGTTGATTTTTCATTTGCGACATCTCACATATGTTTTTGTTGCTTTATTTGTAGATCCATAAGCTCTTCTCAGGCATTGTTACTTCACCTGTAGACTTCTGGAGTAGCCCCTGACACATCTTCTCATCCTCCCTCACTGGTCCTTGTTGCCATCTGTTCTGCTTCCACTGCTGTATGAATCTGCCCATTGTAGACCTTGCACACTGTATTAGTTCATTTTCACACTGCTATAAAGAACTACCTGAGACTGGGGAATTTATAAAGAAAAAAAGTTTAATTGACTCACAGTTCCATGTAACTGTGGAATTGTAAGTCAATTGAAAGTTTTCTCAGGAAACTTACAATAATGGTGGAAGGCAAAAGGGAAGGTACCTCATACATGGTGGCAGGAGAGAGAGTGAGGGGAGAGGGGAACTGCCAAACACTTAAACCATGAGATCTGATGAGAATGAACTCACTATCATGAGAACAGCATGGGAGAAATGGCCCTCATGATCCAATCACCTCCCACCAGCTTCCTCCCTTGACATGTGGAGATTATAATTCGAGATGAGATTTGGGTGGGGACACAGAGCAAAACTAGATCACACACTGTTATTACTCCTTTAAAAAGCAGTGCAAAATATAAGCATGATGATTCCCAAGCTCTTCCACAATCTAGTCCAAATTAACTGCTCTTCTTTATTGCTTATTTTTTTATTGTGAGTCTGAAATAAACTCCATCAGTGTTTATCCTGGCAGGACAGTCCATTCAGATTTCCATGTACTGGGCATTGCATGTCTTTGATTCTCCAGAATCTCTTTCCATCTGATTCTAGTAAATGAATCCCTCTTTTCTGTGGTAAATTGTTTCTATGTGGTTCAGCTGATTTGCTCCCCCTTTTACCACATGAAAGAAGGATATACATTCATGTCCAGTGTGTATATTGCCCATAGATCACCATGATTATTTCAGTGATTGGGTATATTTTGGGAGTGTTTCCTGGTATTCATTACATGGACCCAGGGAAAGAGATTGTAAGGAAAGTGCAGGCTGGAGACTAACAGGACCATCTTTCTGGCTTCTTTGAAAAAGCCTTTTCAAGAATGAAGGCAACAGGTAGAATAAGAGCTGAGAGACAGAAAATGAGATAGAGCCCCAGTCATGTTATTCTCTGTGAACAAAAACTACTTTTACTTTTGACATTGTGGAGCTAACAGTCTGGGAAAATTGGTAAGAATATTAGGAAATGTTTGATTCTTATGACAGAGACTCACTAAAATGACAGGGTTTTTTGGGGGGAGGGAGGGGCAACTGAGTTTAGCTCTTGTTGCTCAGGCTGGAGTGCAGTGCCACGATTTCAGCCCACTGCAACCTCTGCCTCCCAGGTTCAAGCAATTCTCCTGCCTCAGCCTCCTGAGAAGCTGGGATTACAGGCACATACCAACACACCCGGCTAATTTTTGTATTTTTAGTAGAAACAGAGTTTTGCCATGTTGGCCAGGCTGGTCTCGAACTCCTGACCTCCAGTGATCTACCCGCCTCGGCCTCCCAGAGTGCTGGGATTACAGATGTGAACC